CTTTTTTCTGTTCCAAGTTCAAATTCAGGATTCCACACTCCATTGAGTTAATGTGTCCCTTTAGTCTTCTCTTGTCTCTGACATTTTCTTCATCTTCCTTTAAAATAAGAATGAGCTAACACCTTTGAGGGTACTGGCTAGGTCTTTTGTAGAACGTTCCTCAATTTGGGTTTGCCTCATGTATTTTTCTTACCGTTAGATGGGGTTATAGGTTTTTGGAAAAAATATCCCCTAAAGGTAAAGCACCCTTTCTCATCACAGCATTTCAAGGATACTGTATCTGATACCCACATGACATAATTGAGGCTATTAGCCTTAAAGGTTAGGTAGTTTTTGTCAGGTTCTCCACTATAAAGTCACTTTTTATCTCTCGTCTTTGGAAGTGCAACTCTTACATTTTTCAGAGACAGGCAAATTTAAAACATGCTAGGGGAAACTTAAGGGGCAGCAACCAAAGAAGTAGGAAGAAAACCCAGAGAAAGTGTTGTTCAAGTAGCCAGGAAAGATAAAGGCATTAGGGGATGAGGGCATTGTGAACAATGTCAAATGCCCCATGAACTAAATTAAGATAATTACCAAAAAATGTGAATGGGAGGTAGAAATGACTCCAGTAAGAGCAATTTTAATTGTGTGATGGAGCAAAACCAAAATGTAATGGGATAGGCTAATCACAGAAAATGAACCTAGAATGTAAATGACATATTCTGGAATCTTGACTGCAAAGAAAGTATGTGGAACCAACTGAAGGGGGATAGAGAGGGAGTCACAAAATCAAAAGAAGTTATTGAGGATTCTGTGTTTTGTTTCATTAACGTAGAAGAGACTTGAGAAAACTCGTATGCTGAGAAGAAAGAGCTCACAAAAAGGGAAAGAGAAAGCTGGGGGTTAAAGATAAAAGCAACTTTACTGGGTAGAGTTAAGTGTACATGGCCATCACAGTATCTATCACAAAGTTAGTTTAGTCTCCAATATGTCTGAATTATTACTGATTACTGTAGTTTGTTGAGAATTCTCAGAGATTTACTGAGATAGAGGCTACCAGCTCAGAAAGCACATTCCTTTATAAAAATAAAATAGTGATTATCATCTTTCACTGGCGAGAGAATTTAAGAGGTATCTAAATCTCCAAGAAGCTATTCTTCTAGAATTTTAGATGACTGTTTGGACAAGTTGTTGATTCTATTTAGTAATTCTCATACCCTGGTTAAAGGTGCTTCTCTAGCCAGGAAGGCCAGAAACTTGAGATAAATTTTGGGTTTCTATTGACATTCTGTTTAGTAAATACCTTTGGTTCTTTTGCTTTCATTTTTTAACATGAGAAAGCATATCATAACATATTCTGTGACAAATATTACTGCTTGTCAGCAACTTGAAATTAGGAAGTAAAAGTTCATTTTACTAAAGCATAATATTTTCTTTTTTAAAAATATTAAAATTTATTCCAATGTTCTTATTTTTCCTGGGACAAACACAGAGGTTTTGGTGTTGGTGGTGGTGATCTTTGAAGAGGATGTGGGCAATTCCAATAAAGTAAGTAGATTTTTCAAATGTATGTTTTAAATATGAACTAAACACATAGTATGGGACCAAAAGTCTAATAAAACATCATAAATTTAACACAATGGATGACTTTGAACAGAACTTATATAATCTGCTACAATTGAGCAATTTTTCTTCTGAGAATTCACAGTACTTTTTGTAATGGGTAATGAATGAATATGTTTTGGATACATATTGTAAGGGTAAAAACCATGCACATTTATATTATATGCAGCAGCAGCAAAGCAGCAAGAGCACACGTTAAGCTAGAAAGATGTTGAAGAAAGAAAAAGCTCTCCTTAAAGGCAAGCTTAAGTCTTATTCATGTTTATATTTCTAACATTTGGTACAGTGCCTAAATTCAAAATATTTGTTCTTTGTTATATTAATTAGTGATTAAAGAAATACACAAATATAATAATCATATGAATCAACAAATAATCAAACATGACTAGCAAAATTAGGTTGGCTAAGGATCAGTCTCATTCTCAAATTCTATGACTATCAAAAGGTCTCTAACCAAATAGTATTCTCAAGAAGCTAAAAGGGTATTGACAGAGAATAACCTAAAGATAGATACTTGTTATCAAGCTGTTTTATTTGCACATAAATAAAATCAATCAAACGATTGATTTATCTAACAAAGGGAAAGCAGGATATAAAAGAGAAAGAAGAGTGAGGGAAAACAGGCAGATGCAGAACAGCAACTCATGGTTCCACATTTTTGGAATAAAGTCATTAGCTGGCAACAAGTAGAAAAGCCAGGCTGATCTTCAGTGAACTGACTAAGGATATCAAAGAACATACTTTGGAGGTTCTAAACAAGGGGTCAGCGAACTATATGACCTAAGGGCCAAGTCTGGCCTACATGGTTACCTACCGTGGACCAGGGCCAACATGCCTGTTCATTTGCTTGTTGTCAATGGCTGCAGTACACTGCAGTGACAAAACTAATTATCTACAACAGAGATCATGTCACTTAGAAAAGAGAAAATACTTACTCTCTGGTCCTTTTCAGAAAAAGTTGTCAAGTCTCCTCTAAATACACTAGTTGCAAGACAGAGTGTCAGATTGTGTTAAAAAGCAAGACCAAACTATGTACAGTTTCCCTTTGGTATCTATGGGGAGTTGGTTCTAGCATGCCTTTTCAAATTCCAAAATTCATGGATAGCATTTATTTAAATGCCATAGACCCTTATATAAAATGGCATGGTATTTGCATATAGCCTACATACATTCTCCCTAAATAATCTGTAGATTACTTGTAATACCTAGTACAATGTAAATGCTATGTAAATAGTTATTATAATGCATTATTTAGAAAACAATAAGAAAAATGTCTGTATGTGTTCAGTACAGAAGTAATCATCCTTTTTTCTGAAAATTTTAGATCTATGGTTGGTTGAATTCACAATGCAGAGTCCATGAATATGAAGGGCTGACTGAGTGACAAAAAGCAACTTTAAACACCTAGGTAAGCTAAAACTAAAAATATGGAGAAAAGCATTTCATGCAAACATTCATCAAATAAATCTAGGCTAGCTATATTACTATTAAGCAAAGTAAACTTCTGACAAAGAATGTCATTAAGAATAAAGAGGAGTTACTCAGGAAGCTGAGGCAGGAAGATCACTTGAGCCCAGGAGTTTGAGGCTGTAGTGTGCTAATGTTAGAAGTCAGACATTAAAAACAATGATGTGAATCTGTATTTATTAATTTGGAAAACTATCAAAGCTATATTTTCTGAAAAATAAATGGATTTTAAAAAGTCTTAATTTTACTTGATAGACAGATAGGCATGGAAACATATACACCAAATATGAAAAATAGGTAGCTCTGGGTAATGAGATTACAAATAATCTGTTTTCCTCTTTGTGTTTTCGGTACACTGATTTTTTTCAACAATGGTCATAATTAAAAATATTCACATACATATATTTATTTAACTAAATATTCACACACATACCTACACATCAGGCATTTCCTGACCAGTAACTTCTCTTCTTGGCTCTGGAATAAACGTGGCTGACCACCAGGTGGTCTCACTTCATTCTGTGCTTATGGGAGGTGAGCACGTACTCTGCTCGCCTCCCACCCTCAGTGGGAGATAAAGGACAACTGAGCTCCTTCAGACCTGTGGGATTGATCTCCAGGTTTCACAAATCTCCAGAGGGCCATGAAAGCAGTGACAATAACCCAAGAAGCCCCCAAAGAAACAAAGTCCTCTCACAGTACATGCTGAGTGGTGGGGAGATGAGCATGAAACAAAGCCAAGACATGAAACAAAGCCCTCCCTCTGTCATCCTGTAAGTGATTTGACCCAAATAAATGTCTTCCAAAATATGCCACAAGTCAATGGGAAATTTTGTACTCTATGGGTAACTAATCTTATTAACTGTTTGGGAAAACAGTCAATTTTTGCGATCAACAGTTGTGATTCCCATGTATTCCCACACACATTCAGTTATTTGTGTTTCACAAGCAAATGAGGTAGGGAGTACAGGATGCCCTTTTCCCATCTGAGGTCACTGAAATTCAGAGACGTTATATTGCTCCTACAAGACCTCCTAATGAGTGAACATTAAAGCCCACATTCAAACTTACACCTTCTGGTCTCCTGTCCTGAGCCCTTCCCTCCACAACCAGGGCACCCCAAGCTAGCCTGATTATAAAAATCACCTGAGGGGCTTGGGAAATAATTCAAAATTCCAGGCCAGCCTTTCCCCTGATGATCGTGATTCCAGCACAACTGAGATTGGAAATTTGTGGGTTTAAAAACAAACTCACCAGGTGATTTTCACGATTGGGTCAATTGGAGAGATGTTAACACATTTATCCCTTCTAAAGAAAAATATATATTCTCAGTCCCTACTGGGTTGTTAAATGTCAAGGTTAAGAAGACAAGGTCAGAGCTTCTGCATGGGGAATGGTCTGTCCAACTCTAAATGGTAAACCCTAACCCTTTTTTGGTGTTCACATTTGTTTACCTCTGGCTATCCTCACCGTAGGCAGCAGAAACCACACTTCAGCCTTGACAACTCCCCTACCTTAGTTGATTCCACCTCCTCTGCATTTGAGTTTTCTTTCAGTGGCCTGGTTCCCTGATCTCTTCCATCTCTCCCTGAAATCTACTGTACGAAACTCCTTGCAGCTCCAATCTCAGAGGCTGGCCCACAAGCTGACTCAGTTTCCTGTGCAAGTCAGCAGCAAATCAACCATTAAACAATACCTACTTGCTACAAAGAAGCTTCCAGAAGTGCACGTTCTTTACAACCGAGAATATAAGAAGCATAGCCCCACCTCACCTACATGGATCTATCATTTCTTCTCCTGTGAAGGAATTAGGCTGCTGACAGGACTGTTCTGTGTGGATGCATTCATGACTGGCTGAAAGGGCTAATGGGAAGCCAGTAATCCTCCCAACAAAACACCCTTTCACATCTCTGATGCTGTCTCCTCACCCTGCATGCTGAGGGGCTTAGCTTTGGCTGCTCCCATTGGGTGAATCTGCCTGCAGCTGTCTCCCAGCAATCCTCATCTGGGCTGGCTGTGGGAAATCTGTTCTCCAATCCCAACTTCAAGGTCCTGCCGTTGTGTAAGTTGTCTCCAAGACCTGTCAAATTTGAGCATCACATGAGGCATATATACATAAAGTACTTCGGGCATCATAAGAAGGCATCGATCACTTCCAGTCAAGGGAATTTAGAGAAGTTATCTGGCTGCAGTGCACTTCATTTGGACCTTAAAGTGTGAGGAAATGGATTTGAACATCAGAATGTTGGGAGGACATTATGAATGGAGAGGAAAAAAAACAGAGCAACCACAGAAAAAAAGGAAAAATCATAGTGTATGGGAAGAAGGAAGTTTTAGTTATTCTTTGCTTCCCAAAATTAATTCTTAGCTAGTTAGTTTTTAATGCAGTTTTATAGGCTTTAATTCTCTTTGGAAAGCCAAACTTATGAAAACTGTTTAAAAAAGAAAATTAGGGAAAAGGAACTAATTGTTATAGAATACCTTCTAAATTACCTCATTAAATCTTCAAAACAACACCAAAAAGGTATTATCCACTTCACCATCCTCCCCATTTCACAGATGACAATAATGAAGGCAAAGAAGTTAATTTGTCCTGACTCATGTCTCTTACCAAAAAATCAGACAAGAGATTTAAACTGAGCTCTGTTTGCCCTAAACCTCACATGGTATCTACTAGACCACCATTGCCTCTAGGATAACATAAAGAGGTCACATCACTACTGTAGAACATTCACCAGCTGAGATCTGTGCACCTGTGGTCTGAAAATCCTCATTAGAACAGAAAATTTAGTGTTAGCAGGATAGCATTATACATCACATCAAATTAATGGTATCAATTTGAATTTTATTCATTTTAAAGTCTCATTGTTAAATTTATAAAAGTTAATTTTTGTCTTATATCTGTTTCATACCTAAAAGTATAAGGAGTGCATATGTAGTTTTATAGTTGTACATTTCAAGTAACATTACAATAAAAATATATTTCAACATTCCAAGTTTATGAGATTTTTTTAATCCATTAAAAGTTCTCCACATAAAACGTCTCCAATTCTGAGAAAGTTGTATGAACATGTTACTCAAGAATAACCATTGGCCATAACAGAGTTTTCTCATGCAGATGAGTCTCTAGAACAGCAATGTGTCTGTATAATGAACAAGCTGAGATTTTTCTATGACTTCATCTTCTTTCTTTTGCACCAGAGCAGAAAACAAAGCCCAGGGTGGTGTGTCCTGTGAAGTTGAAAGCACTATGCTCATGTCTCTTAAACTGAAGTCAAACTTGTTGGGGAAGAAATTGTTTTTGAAACCTATATTATTTTTAAATTTCAAATTTTTACAGAAAATAAAAAGTCTTGGATTTTTTCAAGTTTTTCCTCCTGAGTAAAGAAGTAGGTGTACCATATGTATCCTCTGATCCCAGAAATATTATAAATGTAAGACACTTTTATCACTTTCGTTATCTGAGTGACGTTCTTCCAATGCATATTTTATATTTCTATGACACATTTTACAATGCACATATGTATCTTAAATATTTCTAATTTATGTACCCCCTTTTCTTTTTGTTTTCTTTCCTATTTACAACCCATTACTCCTATCATGCAGTTAAATATTTAAGAGAGAATTCCCTCCTTTAAAAAAAGGAGAAATCTCACGTCCTGTCTGGCAAGTTTTCAAAAGTAAAAAATCAGAAAGCCATTGACTGCCGCACCCTTTTCCACACTAGGATGACTAACTTTAATTACTCAGAGGATATTAAAGTGACAGTGTGCTTTATATCCATTATTCCAGCCCTAAACCCCATTCCTTCTGACCCAGATGACCCACACATCATCCTGCAGTCAATACCTAATGGAAGAAAGTTCCAGGGAACCCATTTCTATTTATGACCAAAGACATGTCCCCTTTCACCTCATTTCTGCTTTATGCTTTTTCTTCAGGCTACTGAACTCTGGAAAATCTCCCATATCTGCCCCTTATCACCATATTGCCGCTCATTTGATGATCACCAAATCTGGCATCTAGTTTTGATCCTGGGTGTCTTCTTCAGACACAGTTCTGCCCTTGTTTTGACTCCAACCTCTTCTGGTTGTTGTAGATGGCCAACACTGAAAACACTGCCCAAGTCTCTGTTCTGGAAACTATACCCATCTATGACACTGGCAGGAGCACCAGCCTTGCTTGCATGGCTTCCCTTGATAGAAGATTATAAATATTCAAACTTATAAATTAAAAATAAAGGTTCAAATATCAGTCAGCATAAAATAGCACCTTAATATTTGATAAGGTAAGGAATAGAAGAATATATATAGGACAAAACTATCCTGTGTGGTCATCTTCATATCAGTTAATCTGAACATAAAGAATGAAGAACGCTGTTTCTGAGGGAAAGAGACATCTGCCGTGACTTCCACTGGTCCCACATAAAGACATTCCCATACAGAACAATAACTCAGAGGGACTTGACGGCTTCGTTCACGATACTCACGATACCCAGGGACAAGTTTTCTCTGAAGCTAAGGACTTTTTATCCATGTTACAAAACAATCATTTTTTAACAGCTTTATTGAGATATAATTGACACACAACAAATTACAATATGTAAAGTATACAGTTTATATGCAAAGGTGAAACCATCATCAATACTAAGAAAATGAACATATCCCTTATCTCCTAGAATTTTGGGGGGCCTTTTTCTAATACCTCCCTCCTGCTCCTCCCCACCACTGCCCATCCCCAAGCAACCACTGATCTGCTTGCTATTGCTGTAGATAACTTTGCATTTTCCAGATGTTATATAAATATAGTTACACAGAACATACATTTGTAATCTAGATTTTTTTCATTTAGGATTATACTAAGCTTCATTTATGTCATCACATATATCCCAAGTTAATTCCTTTTTGTTGCTGAGTAGATTGAATTGTATGAATATACTATAATTATTTATCCAGGTGTTGATGGACATTTGGAGTTGTTTCCAGTTTTGGGCTATTACACATAGAGCTGCTATAAATATTTATGTACAAATCTTTATATAGACCTATGATTTCATTTATCTTGGGTAACTACCTAAGAGTAGAATTACTAGGTCATATGGTAAGAGTATTTTTAACTTTCAAAAACTGCCAAACTGTTTTCCACAGATGTTATGCCATTTTTTATGTTCCCCAAAGCAGTGTGCTTACTCTACATCCTTGTCAAGAGTTGGAATGGTAGGTGTTTTCAATTTTATACATTCTAATTACTGCAAAGTAGTATTACAATGTGATTTTGTTTTGTATTTCTCTAATGACTAAATATGATAAGCATGTGCTTATTTGCCATCAAATATTTCCCTGATGAAGTATCTCTCTCTTTTATGAGGAAAAGAGGATTTTATGAGGATTTTAATTGGATATTGAGTTCTGGGAATTCTTTGTCTGTTCTGGATATATTTCATTTATATAATATATGATTTGCAAATATTAGCTCCCATAGGGAGGCTTGTCTTTCATTCTATTAGCTGTGCTTTTTAAAGAGCAGAACATCTTAATTTGAACAATGCCCAATGTATCAATTTGGTTTCTTTATAGACCATACTTCTGGTATCTTATCTAAGAAATCTTTGTATAACCCCAGGTCTCAAAATATTTTCTTCTATGTTATCTTCTAGAAGTTTACAGCTATATAAAACTGTATACTTCTGTATATAGACCTATACAATTTAGGTCTGTGGTCCATTTTGAGTTAATTTTTTCATATAGTACAAGGTATTACTTCAAGTTTAGTTTTTTGGTTTTTGTTGGGTTTTTTTTTGCATTTGCTGAAGTCTTTTCTTTTTCCACTGAATATACTTTACCTATTTTTGAAAATTAAAATGACCATATATAAATGGTTCTACTTCTCAATTATTCATTTTGTTCCATTTATTTATTTGACTTGACACAAATACCATATTAACTTTACTCTTGTAGCTTTATAAGTCTTGAAGTCAGATAGTGTAAGTCCTCCAATTTGATCCACTTTTTTAAATTACTTGTGCTGCTACACATACTTTGCATTTTCATATGAAAGTCAGAATAGATTTTCCATTTCTATAAAAAATTAATGAAATTTTTATTGAGGTTCCATTGAATCTATAGACCTACTTGGGGTGAACTGACATCTGTAAAATATTGAGTCTTCCAATCCATAAAGGCGATATGTGTTGCTATTAAATTAAATGTTTAATTTCTTTCATTCATATTTTGCATTCTATAGTGTATGAATACTTTATATTTTGGTGCTTTTATAAATGATTTTGCTTTTAATCTCAATCTGTTATTTATCACTAGTTATATTACTTTCTTGTTGCCACGATAACAAATTATCACAAATTTAGTGGCTTAAAGCAATAGAAATGTATTCTCTTATAGTTCTTAAGGTAAGAAATCTAAAATTTGTCAGCAGGCCTGCATTCTTCCTAGAGGAATCTATTTCTTTGGCTTTCCCAGCTTCTAGAAATTTCCTGCATTTCTTGGCTTATGGCTACACATCTCTCCAACCTCTGCTTCAGTGTTCACGTCTTTTTCTCAAACTCTCTCTCTTATAAGTACCATTGTGGTTACGACAGCCGCATCTGGATGAACCAAGATAATCTCCCCATCTCAAAATACTTCACTTGGTATTAGCTACAAAGTCTCTTTTGCCATAGAAGGAAACATACTCACAGGTTCAGGAGTTAGGTAATGAACAGCTTAGGAATGAGGCATACAATCACACTAGTACATAAAAATATGATTATTGAATATTTTACATTCTGCAACCTTACTAAACTCACTTATTAATTCTAGTATCTTTTTTGTAGATTCCATAGTACTTTCTACATATATGATTATTTCATCTATTAAAAAGACAATTTTACATATAGTTTTCTAATCTATGCCTTTTATTTCATTTTCATGTCTTATTGCACTCATTAGGACTTCCAGTATGATGTTTAGAAACAGTGGTAAAAAAAAATACTTGTGTTGTTCCAAATGTTAGGGCCACACTTTATTATTCCATCTTTCATTATTAAAT